GTTATTCTTTAGTTTGACCAGAGAGAGACAGAGAGAAAGGGAGAATGAGAAAGCAAGCCACCAGGACTGGGACTCAAACTACAATAGGCCATGTGGGAGTTCAGCACCACGACTACCTTGCCACTTGCTGGCCCTGAGACTGGAACTTTAACATCACTAGTGGGAATACAAAAGGGTGGATCTACTTTGAAAAACAGTTGCTGGTTTCTTTTTGAGTTTTGTTTGTTTGTTTGTTTGCTTTTTGCTATAGGATGCATGCACTTGCCAGAGAGAGGCAGAGAGAGAGAGAAAGAAAGGGAAAGGGAGAGATCACCCATTAGGGATATGGCCATTCCATAAACCCTTCTCTTCCATTCTTCTCTCGGGATTTTGGGCACACATGCATGTATGCTGGTATGATTTTCAAGTCACCGGGTCCAGAACTCAAGCCACAGTTGGCTATGTAGGAGTCTGGCGCCTTAAACACCATGCTACCTGCTGGACCTCATTTAGTGGTTCCTTTTTTCTTTTCCTTTCTCTTTTTTTTGTGAGATAGATTTTTGCTATAGGGCATGTGTGCTTGCTGGAGAGAAAGCCAGAAATCACTCCCTAGGGGGGCATGGCCATGCGACAGTCCCTTCTCCATTCTCCTCTTGGGATTTTGGGCACACACTCACACATGCTCAGTGTGAGTTTCAAGCCACTGAGTCTTGGACCTGAACCGTGGCTGATTACATGGGAGTCCAGCACCCTAACCACTATGCCATCTGCTGGTCCCCAATTGGTGGTTTCTTAAAAGTTGAACACACTTATCTGGTTACCCTATTTCTAGGTATTTACCCAAGATTAACAGAAACATATGTTCTTGTAGTTTTTATTTATTTATTTATTTACTTAATTTTATTTATTTACTTATTTTTTAATTTGACCAGGGAGAGACAGATAGAGAAAGTGAGAAAGCAAGCTGCCAGGTCCGAAACTCGAACCATGGTCAACCATGTGGGAGTCCAGCATCCTTAACCACCATGCCACCTCCCGGTCCCTGAACATAAATTTTTATAGTGGCTTTATTTCTAATCACCAAACACTGGGGAAAAAAATGATTAGGGAATGGATAATCTGCGATCCACTCATACCCTTAAATACTATTCAACAGTACAAAATAAACTGTTATACCAATAATTTAGCAACATGGTTCAACCACAAAGGCTATTGTGCTAAGTGAAGGGAAGCCACACTCAAAAGGGTACGTACCATATAATTCCATTTATATTATAGTCTGCAAGGAAGGCCTCTGTAAGAACTGAGTAGCTGAGCAGTTGCTTGGGAATGGGGAACAGTTGCTTGAAGGAATAATGTATCTTGATACAGTTGCCAACTGTATCTGTTCGTATATGAATGTGACTCTAAAAAACTGATACCTAGTCCCCATCGCAGACTAAGTAACAGCCTTAGAGTGAGACTCAAGCACTGCTACTCCTTTTTATTTTTTTGGAGAGATTTTCGCTATAGGGCGCGTGCGTTCACCAGACAGACAGAGAGAGACATAGAGACAGAAAGCGAGAAATCACCCCCCGGGGGGATGGTCACGCCGCAGTCCCTTCTCCTCCATTCTCCTCTCGGGATCTTGGGCATGCACGCACACGCGCCCGGCGTGAGTTTTAAGCCACCGGGTCCGGGACACGAACTGCGGTTGACTACGTGGGAGTCCATCAACATAGCCATTACGCTAACTGCTGGTTCCCATGCACTGCTACTCCTTTTGAACCTCCTAAGTGATTTTTCTGTGTAGCCAAATGTACTATCAAGGTTGAGAAGCACTGAACTACATAATTCATATAGGAAACACCAAGGAAACTATGCCTTCTGGCTTTGTGTTTCCACTCTCCTCAATAGCACTTTAAAAGTAGCTGGACAGAGATTGAGCATCAGGTTGTGTTAGTGTCTAAGGGACTATGGGTTATCTCATCCCTTTTCCATTGATGGCTGAGAGACATTGGGTAGGCTATTTTCTGGGTATCTTTTTTTTTTTTTTTAAGTTTTTGTCATAAGGTGTGTGTGCTTGCTGGAAACAGACAGTGAGAGGGAAAGTGAGAAATCACCTCCCATGGGGCATGGCCACACCACTGGCCCTTTTCCATTTTCCTCCTGGGATTTTAGGTGTCCATGCATACACGCCTGGCATGATTTTCAAGCTACCTGATCCAGGAACTGCAGTGTGCCATGTGAGAGTTCAGTGCCCTAACCACTATGTCACCTGCCAGCCCTCCTGTGGGTATCATTTTGCTGCTACTGGCATTGTTCAACTTGGTGATTATGAAACCGGACATCAGGAAGGCTTGAGGAAGCGTGATTTATTTAAGCCAGTGCATTTGAGATCGGATCGCCGCCTGGGCAGCACTGGATTGTTCTTTACAGCCGTAGAGTTTTATCTCCTGCAGTCACCTTGTAACAGACCTTACTCAGGACTGTGGTCCAAATTATACCACTAGGTGTCACCAAGAAGTGATAAATGGATGAAGACACAGGGATCCAGGGATACAATGTGATAGGAAAATATTGAGAGCTTATTTTCCATACTGAAGAGGCTCCCAGAGGAGGCTGATTAATGCATAGTAGGTAGTGGAAAGCTACAGTCTGTCTCGAAACCTAACCCCCGTTTCTTGTTCTCTAGCCTTGGACTTCTGTAACCATGTTTGTTTATTTCACCGTATCTTTGCCCTTTGAGATTTTTCTTAAATATGTGTACCTTAGTGTTAGGTGGCCTTCCATGTCATACTACTTTTCTAAGATCTTTTTCGTGTGTATAATCTAAAATGGACTATTCTGCTCAAAGTTTTTTTCTCAGATAGATTATTCTAGCTTCATCCTTCTCTTTTGTTATTTCTCCTTGCATTGTTTCAGATGTCAGCAGAACCAATCAGTCCCATAGTTCCTCAGGCCGAATAGAAAAGTTTGGCCAGATAAGCCAAGTTAGGCCCAAGGCAGTGGGTTAAGACCAGTCTTTCCCTCTTCATGTTCAAATAAAAAAATATAGGGTGAAACCAGAAATCAAAGCCTAATACTAATGTAGTTAAGATCTAATCTCTTCTCATCCTCTGTGCCTTGTGGTCAAGCCTCATGTGCCCTGTATTTGAAATGACTAGGGATTTTTTTCTGGTTGAATGTAGGTAGCTATAGTTACCAGTATAAATGTTAAGTCTCAGTCTCAATTTAGTAAGTTCATTTCTAGCCTATCCCCCAAAGTTAAGTCCTTGATGTGGGTTAAAATGCCTACCAGTATCTTTTATTATTTCATTTTTAATTTTTTTCTTTTTGATTAGCATGGACATGCAGATGCAAAAGACACAGGGAAAGA